GAAATCCGGCTCATGTTCCACACTCCAGCCCGCAGAGGACCCTGTTTGTTCGTTGGCAAACACCAGCGTGGTCTACTTCCAGAAAACCTGGAAACACCACCACACAGCCTGGCCTTGTGAGTTGCGGAGATCTAGGGTGGTTCACTGGGGCTGAGTGACAGAAACAGGGGAAGGAAGGGGAAGACAGAGCCACCTGAATGGCAGCCTTGAGCAGAGCTGGAGGGTCAGCTCACCCTCTCCTGTACTGGGCATCGCACAGATCAGCAACCTGGATGTTGTTATGGCCTCAGGGAGACGCAGAGAGGTACAGAGCAGCTGGCAGAGCAGCGAGCCACTGAGTCAACCACTGGAAATTCAAAGGGGTTTGCAGATCAAGACAGTGTACGGAGCACAGGGCTCACTTCTTCTGTCATGAAACTCTACAGAAATAAGAGCCAAGGAAGGCCGCTGCACAGCCATGAAGATCCAGGGTGGGAGAAGGCGGCCGCAGGCCCTGGACGCCAATCCATCCACAGCAGGGGCAGAGCTGATGGGAGTGAGGAGGGCGGAGGGCTACCAGGTGCCTCTAGGGGGAGGCCACTGAGCCACCGCATGCGGCATCCAGGAAAGGTGGGGGCGAGACACAGGGTTGGAGAGAGGCACATTTATGGACTTCCAGGCCTCCTGTCCCTCCCATGCAGCCAGATGTCCCCTCTGCTCCTACACCGTGGAGAAATAAGAGAAGCTCCAACCCAGGGACACCACACACAGCAAAGGTGGGAGCAACTTAGTGGACTAGCCACTGACTGGCCTTGAGACCGCCTGCTGGGCCAGAACTCCAGCACCGCAATGGGTCTTGGGTGCAGATGGCCTTACAGCTGTGGCACAGAACAGACACCCAGGCCGGGGGGCAAGCGGGAGTTGAAGTCCAGCTTGTGCTCTCCCTTAAGCTTTGCCCTACCTCATGGCTGCACCCTCCCAGAGAAAGGGATAAAGGGTATGCTCTGTCAGTCAGGCTAAGTGGTTTCTGCCCAGAGGGACACCTGTTTTTAAAACTGCACAAGGGCATTTCATAGACTAATAGCAGCCCCKTGTGAGTCCCTCTTCCCAGGCAGAGGAAGAGTGAAAAGCTCTCTAAAGAAATGGATAAGGCCGCAGAGAAAGGATGTGCAAATACTGATGCAGGATTCTCCAAAGACAAGTCCAGTCCTCGTGGACTAGAGAAAACCCACTAGTTGACACACAGCTTCCAAACAGCTTCCTGAGCATCCGCTTTTAAACATGAACAGATAGATCCACAGAATCACCAGATACTAGAGAAAAACTTGGAACATGAAAGATAAAGACAGAGACCAAAACAAGAGGAAGGAAACTTAGAGGAAGCCAAGGCAATACAGGGAGCAGAAAAGAACTTCCTCCCAAACACTATTATTGGCCGGGCGTGGTGGCACACACCTGTCATCTCAGCAACTCAGGAAGCTGAGGCAGGCGGATCACAAGTTCAAGGCCAGCCTCAGGAACTTAGGAGACCCTGTCTCAAAAAAAAAAAAAGTTTGGGGATGTAACTCAGTGGTAAAGTGCCTGGATTCAATCCCCAGTACAAAACAAAACAACACCAACAAAAAGAACCTATTATCATAACATCCACAGGGCAATAGGATCTGTATTCCTGAATCAAGAACAAAACACTACAAAACAAAACCCAGAACAATGAACAGTTTTGGAAATCAACATAAAATTGAATATATTTTCCAGAAAGCAAATCAAAAAATAGAGATGAAAAATTAAAAAGGTAAAAACATTAGAAGATTAGTTGGAGAGGTCCTATATTGGAATGACAGATCAGAACGAAAGAACGTAAATAATTTCAAGAAAATTTAAGACCTTTACCTTAGGGCTCAGCACAAAGTATAACAGCAAAGATGTGACACTATCATGACAGTTCAGGACACCAAGAACAAAGCATTCTTCAGTGTTTCCAGGGAGAGGAGAAAACCAAGTCACACGGGAGTCCAAATGGCATCACAGARGTCAACAACCACAGGTGGCGAGGCGGGGTGTATTTTGTACCTGCAGTTCTCTGCTCAGCCACATTTGCACAAATGCATTTTGCATTTTAAGTCATGCAAAAAAAATCTCAAAATATTTGCAACAATATACTTTCCATGTTCCTGTTCTCAGGTTACTGAAGAATGTCACTCCAAAGAGAGACAGGGAGGGAGGGTGGGGCAGGGCAGAGAGAGRATATGAATCTAGGGGGAAGTGTGACTAGGAAGGCCATGTACCTGAAGTGACCACGTGGCTCAGGAGTGAACATCCCTGACAAGCCCATGGCAGTGTCAATGCTGAATGCACCAAAGAACATGATCTAACTATAGGGTCCCGGCACGAGTGTCCCCTCCATCTGCAGTATTAGCAGGTCAATAGATGTTTCTAAATAAATTAAAAGAATAAAGGGTAAGCATGTTATGTAGAAGTGCAAAGGTAAATATTAGAAGAACAGCTCAAAGTGTTCAAAATGGTTACTTCTAGGAGCAAGTTGCCTAGAACGTAGGAAACTGCTAGTTCTCATTAAAAACCTGATAGTCCTTTTTTTTTTTTAAATTAAAAAAAAAAACTCCAAGGAATGGGGTGGCTTGTCCAGCAGCCTGTTATAACCACCTTCTTCCATATAAGCCTATACTCAAATGAATTTTTTATCCTTTAAAAAATCAGTTTACTGCCAACCTGAGCCAAATGAGTTTTGGGCATCTTGCCACTAGATGTTTTAAAGAACATTCAAAGAGGAGGTGAGGGAGGGAGCCTGCAGAGAGCTTCTGAACAAGGCCTAGAGCTGTGAAACAAAATGATTCACATTTGRGTCAGCTCTTCTTTGGCATTTAATTTGGGCAGAGACATCCAGGTGCCCCGGGTTAAAAAATATCACACACATAATCTTTATTATGCGTACCTCTGAACTTCTGATGATGCCAGGAAGCTCATTAATTAGCTCATTTTCTACGGGCTCCTGGCCTTCAAGATGGAGACACTCCAAGCTCCGAGAGCTTTTGCCTGGAAGGCTGAGATTCTTTGGGGGAAGGGAGGCAGAATGGCACAGAGGCCGGGTTTCGTCCTTAGGGTCTCCACCATGCTGTGTAAATTCTTTCAGTTTTGCTGGAACTCTGTATCTGAGACCTGCTGCTCGAAAGAAGAGAGTCCTTGGACTGCTAGGAAGGAATGGGATTCCCCGAGTAAAAGCAAGGCTGGTATGTCAAATGACATGCCTTGACAGGTGTGAAGAATGTTCCAGAAGGTATGGGGGTTGAGCTTGAAGGTAAACAAAGCTTCCTCATGGAAAAGACAACAAAAAGAAGTTGAAAATATTTTTTAAAAGATAACAAAACAAAGTTTGATAGGTGCCCAAATATTTGGTTTTGCTTGAATGAGAACATTTTTTCCCTAGTCATTTTATCAGGACATTCATGTGCACAGTAGAAGTTTCCTGCAAAAAGGGACAGCTCTGGACTGGGCATCAGGGTGCTCATGACAAGTCTATTCCTGGTGGGCTGTGTGAGCTTGGCCAACCTGCTGTGCCTCCCTGGGTTCAGCTGGACAAACTGCTCCCTGAGCCTTTGCTGAGTAGGGTTCMTAACTTTGGAAGGAAGAGTTCATAACTTTGCTCTTGAGGGGGAGGGCAGAGGCAAGAGGAAACTTAAACAGCCTTCACTGACCTGAGTCTTAGCAGGACCAGGCTGATATGATGGGGGGGGTGGTGGGAGAAGTGCCTTTGTCTTTTCTTACAGCCCACCTGCTTTGCTCTACTCCATCATGGCTCTGGAGCTTTCCAGAAAGACTTTTCAAGAAACCCGTTTTGATGGCTGGCAAGCGGTGCCAAGGCCACAGCAGGTATTCTGAGGCCAGCATGCCCCAAAGCATTCTTAAGCAGCACAGTGGGCACTTGTTCTTAGCCTGGCCACCTCCAAGCTCCTCAGGACCTTTCACAATGCCCTGCTGGGCCCCGAGGTCTCACACAAGATCAGCAAAGTGGGAGTGGGGTCTCCGCCTGCTGAGAGCCAGCTAGAGCTCTATTTTGAACACGTTGTCTAGATGGGCCCCTCTTAGGTTTCACTTGACAGAAAATATGATTTTCATTTGAAAAGTCACAGTTCTAACTCCAACCAATCAATGCAAAAGCAAATTAAAAATACATCTCAACTGGGTATGGTGACATTCAACTGAAATCCCAGCAACTCAGGAGGCTGAGGCAGGAGGAACACAAGTTGGAGGCCAGCCTCAGCAACTTCACAAGACCCTGTCTCAAAAAAATAAAAAGGGCTGGGGGTGTGGCTCAGCAGCAGAGTGCCCTCAGATTCAATCCCCAGTACCAGGAAAAAAAATGCATCTCACTCCTCCAACCCTTCAAGAAAACCAGGGTGAGAAATGCAAGTGCTGAGGCTCTCAACAGAGCCTTGGTCTTCTTCCTTGATTCTGCCATTCCCTGTGCCCTTTCTGGGAGCCAGCAGCTTGGTGCTGCTTGGTTCCTCCAAAGAATGCAACCAGTCACCAGACTGCAGCAGGTGCACATACTTGCATCTTCACCCAGACACCTGCACTTGGAGGAAAGTTCTTCCAGGTAAGGTCCCCAGGGGACCCACGCTCCTCCTCATCAGGCAGACCTTCATCCGAGAGGTAAGTAACTAGAGTTCATCCAGGACCTGAGAAACCTGCATGCATGAGAGCCGAGATCCAGGTGTTGGCTGAATATGGGTGACGATGCTTACCATCTGATCAAGCAAGGCACAAGGACAAGACTCACCAGGGAGGCGGCTGCCACCTGAGTTCTGAGCACACAGCCAAAGGGGAAAGGTGCTCTCAGGCCCCAAGGAGGGGAAARGACAGGAGCAAAGCAGGACAGCAGGGGGCGGGGCCTGGGCTGCCCCAGGTCTTCCACCACCTGCAGAAGCGGCCCCACCCCCAACACAAAACAAAATTAAGTAAAAAGACCCCACCCTGGTCAGGGGCCTGTTTTTTTTATTCTCCAGACACACACATCAGAGCCTGTTGACATCCAGCTGCGGGAAGAGCAGGAGGCAGTAGACCAGGAGCCAGAGAAAGAGAATAAAATACATCACATCMGGCTGCTGCACAAACTGGGTCAGGGAGTCACTCTGTGGGCTCTGGCTGCCCAGGGACATGGCTTCTCCAGAATTTTTGGCCTTCCTACAGAGGGAAAGACAGGGGACAACAGTTAGTAGCAGGGCCCCAGGAGGGTGGCCCACACCCCTACTCCATCCCCACTGCCCCAGAGCCCAGGACGTGGTGTGATGACTCTGGGAGGCCACAAGTCATGGGCATGGACCCAAGGATGAGGGTGGTCATCCCGGTGGCCCTTCTGGCTTCCACCTGCCCAGCTCATCTCCTGGGCACCAAGCGGGAGGAGTGGTCAGCACTGTCCCACAGATGGGCATACTGAGACTTGTGAGGGCAGTGACTTGCCCCAGCTCTCCAGGGACACTGCCTTCATATCACAGTGTCCTCAGGATGCTCCCCTTAAGGAGTGAGGTGCTGACAGCTTCCAGTTACTTTCTAGTCATGGAGGGGACTCCTCGGCCATCAAAAGGAGTGCGGAGTGCCCCAGTGACAGGTGATTTCAGAACGGCCATCAGAAACACGTAAAGACACCCCTGAGTTTCACTTCTGGCTTTAGAAGATCACCATTAGGAGAATTATTAGATATGATTTTGGCCAGGTGTRTCTCTTTTATTCTACAGGACGCAGGGCTTAAAATGACACTTTGCTTTTGCCTGCCAAGTCACGGGGGCTGGCAGGATGGTGGGAGCCAGCCTAGGGCAGAGCAGAAGAGAGGGYCCAGCTGACCTGGGGGAGGGGCTGATGGGGGTGCCTGAGTGGCAGCGTCTAAGGCCCTTCCTGAGCCTGAAATGAGGAGACAAAAGACGTGGGGGGGGAGGGTGTCGAGTGAGTGGAGTGATTCACCTAGCACGGGATGCACACCTGTAACCCCAGGGACCTGGGAGGCTGAACCAGGAGGACCCCAAGTTCAAGGYCAGCCTGTGCCACTTAGCAACACTGTCTCAAAATAAGAAAAGTAAAGGCTGGGATGCAGCCTCGKGGCACAGTGTTTGCCTAGAGTGTGTGAGGCCCGAGGTTCCATCCTCCAAATGGCGATAAATAAATAAATAAGCAAACTGAGTGATTCACATGCTGATAATGATCAGCTGACAGCACCTCTCTTTTTTAAATTATAGAAAAAAGTGAATTTCAAGGGTGATAAATGCTTGATGTGGACATGTGAACGACACCCGCATCTGTCCCCCCTCGGATTTTACTTTCGGCTGCTCTATCTCAAGTGTTGTCCTACRAGCGTGTTCAGCCTAGTCAAAAACTTGACTTTGCATTTCCATTTCAGGCCAGCAAGGGAAGCTTGCCTTGCTTCTTTTTTAGGAGCCAGAGGGGAGGAGTCCTAAGGCCCATGCTCCTGGGGATTGAGCAATATTCAGAYAGAAGCTTCCAATTCCAGTTATCTAACCTTCCAGGCCAAGTCAAAGCCATTGGGGGGATAGAGAGAGAGAGGGAGGGAGGGAGGGAGAGAAATTAAAGCCCCYGTATGACTGTGACTTGGATGGGGCCATCGTTTCTGCTCTCTGGGCTCTACATGGGCTGTTTCTCAGCCAGCTCAGCGACATTCGATTGGGCTAGCTAGTTCTCCAACAGTAAGAAATACTTTCATGGACATCCCGGCATGTTTGCATTCCCTCTTCATGTCTGCTCTGATGCCATAAAACTGTAAAATCAGCTCAGTGAGCTTCTGAGTATTGTACCTGCAGGGGCGACAGAATGAACACAGGCTGTCAGGGGCCACGCCCCCGCCCCTCTCCTCCTGCCTGGCCCTGCCGTGGTACTTCCTTTCTGCCACTGCTTGATTTAACTGCAGCTGTTGGCTCCTAACTCAGACTCCTCTTTGCCCTGACTGGTTTTCTAAACCACACTCCACCACTGTTCAATAATATCCGCTTCACCCTCCCACGCATACTGAATTTATATTCGGAGCCTCTGGAACGGGTATTTCCTACATTCTTTCAAGTTATTATTACTATGATCCACAAAGCACAGTAGGAAAATAAAATCTCCACCCCATCAGGTAGGCTATGCTTCATTAAAGACATTTTTTTTAACCCCACCAAACTTGCAGCAGAACGAAGCCACCAACCTGGTTAACATTCGGTTTCTTCTGTCATCCAGATCTGCTGCATTCCTCAATTGAACATAGCTAAAATGATCCTACAGTGAAATTTATAAACAAAACCCCGCAACCCAATTAGTAAAGATGAAATCTCTGAAACAGAAAATAAGATGATTTCAAACAAAGTCAAGGGTGCCAGGCTTTTCTCGATACTGCAAACAGCTAATTCCAAAATCAAACTGCTAAACAGTCAACATTCTCCCACCACTTCCCCACGCCCTCCAGGGTGATCGGGCCTCCCGCCACCCATAACCCCTTCCAGGTGTGCTGCGGAGCTGGGCTGCTGTGGGTCCCCAAAATTTGAGGCTGGTATCTGCAAATGTCAAGAGGGACCTCTATCTATGTTATGTCCCTGTCATTGAATGGGATCTTTCTAGGTGTGTGTGCTGGGTCTAGGGAGGCGTCTCGGATGTGTGGTTTTTTCTTTTTCTTTCTTTCCTTTTTTTTTTTTTTTTATAACAAAGAGGCCTTTGGGCTTTAAAATCATCACTTTATTTACATCCCTTATCGCCCAAACTGGACATCCAATTGGACTGTGCTTAATGACAAGGTTTCAATGTGTTTGTCTTCTATCCAAAAGTATAGTTGTTGCTCATCACTGATTTCAAAGCTCTAGGCCTGGGAGGAGGAAGGGTGGAAAGGAATTSATTAATTAGCAGGGACCGAGGGGAAGAAGAAATTCACATACTAACCGATTCCAAAGACCTATTAGTATGGCGTCGAATGTAAATACTGGAGTCACTGTGACTAGTCCTGAAAAACAAAGACATGTTTTAAATTGACACCACCCAGAACTCCCCGAGGCTTGTGACATGGTTACCCCCAGCCCCAGTTGTCCCTGCGTGCACTCAGGCAAGTGGCGACTTCAGACCGAGGGACAGAAATGACAACTTTTATCCAACATGCCCACTTTGTGGGTGGGTGCTTATGCACAGTGAGACGGACACAGAGACACACGGACTACAGAGCCACACCGCCAGRATGCTTACTGGAAAGCAGGCCACTTAGCAATCCTGGCTTTCTGGGTCCAAGCACCCTGAGGTCCTGGGGCCCGCCTGGATCCTCTGTAGGTTAGATAGCCTCGGGCCTCACCCGGGATCTGGGCCCTCCAGCCCTCCTTCCCACTCAGAGCRATGCTCTTGCAGCCTGGTCCTGGGTGTGCCCCTTTCCCCTCATGTACAAGCAGGCAAATGTTCCCACCAAAACTTTGCGGCCCGGGGGGGGGCGGATGGGCCTCTGTCCTTGAAACACAGGTGGCTCACTGAGGGCTGTGGCAAGGGAGGCCTGGGCTGTCACCTAGGCTCCTAGCAGGTTAGCTGGCAATGCCAGCCACAGACTTGTATCTCTGATCAACGTTCCTCCTCTGTAAAGGGATCATCRTTCCCATCCTGCCTACTCTGCAGAGCCAATGGTGCTGGTGGGCTCATGAGCTCTGAGCACGGGATCCTGTTTTGGTGCCAGGTGTTGGTTCGGAGCTGTGGACCTCAGCATAGAGAGTCAACTCAGTTTCCTTAATTCAAGCCCCCTGAGTGACCTCCTGGGGGTCTGGGGAAAATGTATTTGTCTCAAGAGTTTATTTCTGGGCAATTTGACACTCAGCAGCTTTGGCATTCCTGCCCACTGCTGTCCTGGAAACCCTGCCTTGCTCCGCACTGGGTACATCTGCAGCTAGGAGTTATGCTTATTACATACYAGGCCCGCGTTAGGCTCAGGGAAACCGTAGTCCTTGTAATTCCATCTAAAAACTGCTACTTTTTTTTCTGGCTGGTGTCACAGCACAGAAATAAAGTAAAATATACCTACAAAGACAAAAACCCACTCTGGTGCCCAGACCCCAGTGGTGCCTCAAACAGAGCTGACCCTGACACTGCAGGCCTGGAGAGGCAGACGTGCCCTGCACGTGTATCTGTGGTGTTTTCTAATAAGGGGGCACCTCCGGATCAGGAAGGGACCCTCCTCCGTGCCCTGGCRCTTGCAGCAAGTTTCCTTTTAGATATTTTGAGATTCATTTATAGTAGGTTTGAATCCTGATCTTCATTCTTTAAGCAAATACTTATCGAGATCCTACTGTGTGCCAGGAACCAGGCTAGGTGCTCAGAACCCACCCTCCCTGCCCTCCAGGAGCCAAGAGAAGACAAGAGAGCTCATTCATCAAGCGAGTGCCTATTTCCTTAATCTTCTACCCAAAGGATTTCAGTGAATGCCAACCACAAGCCAGTGCCTGTGCTAACTAACTACTGGGGCTGGGCTCTCTATACATCTCTCTTTAAGGAGATGACTGGGGAGGATTAAAGACATTCTTACACACAGGTGACTATGGAAATCACAGTTCGGCTCTGCACAGTGAGGAAAAAGAGGAGGCTAGAGGAACATATAGAGGGGATCTTCTTGGAGGGAGAGGCAGGTGGAGCTGAGAACCAAGGCTGAGATGCAGTAAGCCAGGGGACAGGTAGGTGCCAGCGTTCCAGACAGAGGGAAAGTCACTCAAGGAGCCTGGAGAGGGGCTCAGTCAAGAAACTGAACTACAGCCAGGTGCCTGGTACAGGGTGGATGGAAACAGAGATCACTTGGGTCCTGCAGGCTCTGAAACAATGGGCCTCTCTGCCTTGTCCAGTGGGGAGGCCCAAGAGAGACAGAATGAGAGATGGCCAGAAAAACACCCTGCACCGGGGGAGAGGCGCCCAGAACACGGTCCCATTCAGTAACGTGGAGCCAGGGGCTGACCTCGCTGCAGATCAGTGTTCCTGGGTGTCCAGGAGGGGTGGCGTCTCCTACCCTGGAGCAGCAGGTGGAGGGCTCTGGGCTCTCACCTTTGCTTGCACTTGGGACTCAACTTCCACCTGGGCTAACACACTTCGTTAGCATTCGAGCTTGGCCACTGCTGTGCCTGGGTAAGGGGGAAGGACCTCTGCCCTGGGCAAGGAGATGGGGCCCTGAAACGACAGCTTCCCCTCCCTGTCTGTCCTGGCTCCTTTTCCCTGGGCTTCACCTGTGCTACCAATGGACACGGCGCATGTCCAGGGAGTTGGCTTTGCCCCCGCACCCGGCTCCCCTCCCACCTCCTTCCCTTCACAGCCTGAGGTGCCTGCTGCTGGCTGTTTGCTCTGGCTGTTTGTTTCACGGCTGCCTCTGTTTCCCCACATCCCAGGCCCAGAAGCCAAGCAGAGTGGACCTGGAGCCCTGGGCACCCGTGGCTCTTCCTCTGGCCCCCAGCAGGCTCCCCAAATGCATGACTCCATAATTTTCCTGATTGGCCAAGACCACTCCCGCCTCCTGGAGAACAGGGGCCAGAGGAGAAATGTGGACCGTGGAGTCGGCGGTTCTGATCTCAGAGCCCGGCGCTGCCATTGCCTAAGCCCAGAGGCCCTGGGGAGTTTACAAGGTCCAAGATTCCCTGTCTGCCATTGCGAAGCACCAGCCCACCCACAGGCCTTGGGTGGCRACGTGAGAACGAACGAGGAAGGCTGTGTGAAGGCCCTGCACGCAGTGGGCTTGGGAAACAGTGACTCTGTGATGACGGGGAGGGGACCGGGAGACACCCGGGTCTTCTGACAGCAGAGACACATTATCCCTGTGACAMATCTGGCTCCTCTAGCAGCCTTGGAGTGACCAGGCAGGTGGGTGCTGTGAGCTCCTATAGATCATCTGAGGCTTGTCATCCTTCTGCTCCTTCCTTGCTCCAAGAAAAATCAAACATCCCAACCACCAGAATACTAACATCCACGTCTAGCTTCTATGTGACCAGGACAGAGGTCACAAGCTCCAAGTCAGTAGGGTGGAATGGGAAGTCGGGCTCCACCTGGCCCAATGGCTATCTGGGACCAGGGCAGCGGGCAGCCTCCAAGTTCATCACTTTCCCACCAGCCCTGGCTGGGTAGGGCCATTTTGGGCCCATGGCTGTTTCCACCCAAACAGCAGAGTGGGGAGGGAGGGCAAGCACGTGCCCTGCCGGTCCTGCTCCTGACAAGCTCTGGTGACAGGCAGGCARGGGAGCCCAGGTGCGGAGAACCGGGACTTTGCTGACTCTGTATTTCTGGACCCTCGCCCAGTGCCACCCCTGAACCCCCCAAAATCGAAAGCTGCAAAYGGAATGAGTACAGACAGCGACTCTCTGGCTCCATCTCTAGGGTGAAAAGATTTTTAGTMAAATACCTGGAAGGGACTTTGTGGTCGCCAGCGTCTTCTTCTAGGTCCTCTGAGGACCGAACGGTTCCAGGTGCTATAAATAACGAGCCTTCTTCAGGGTCCATGTGCTTCCTTTTCTCCTTCTTCTTACTGCTGGTTGGCTCTTCCTGGACCTTTACTTCTAACGGGTTCGCTATATTTTCTGGGCGTGGGGATCCTTGGGACTAGAAGACAAAAGAGCCCCCAAACAAGTCAAATTTCCTGCCAGAGCAGATGACATCACCGAGCAGTGTCCCAGCCCAGCCACAATACCCAGTAATCTCCCTCCAGCACCCTCTGCCCCTGAGAGAACCCASCCCAACTCCTGCGCCTGTGTGGAATTCAAAGGCGGTAAATGGATGGAGTGAGAACAGGGCAGGGCTGAGAGTCAGGAGGCTCTCAGGTCACATCCCACTAGTCAGCTCTTTGGCCTTGAGCAGCTGACCTCTCTTAGAGCCTTCCTTTTCTGTCTGTCAGGTGGGTACAATATTCAACTCCCAACCTCTTCCCACTGTACCAGGGGGTTTCCTAGAGAAGATGTCTCTCGGAGGGGCAGGAGTTGACTCCTCCACATGACCATCCTCCTCCCTGTGAAGTCAGGTGGGTCAAGTGTGCACAGGTGGCCGCGAGCTTGAGTGGTACACACAGGCCAGTTCGGAGTTTGTGGGATGACACCCCACGGTGGCCAAGGGCCATGCAGTGCCACATCTCCAGCTCTCAGTTGGAAAGGAAGAGCTTCTGACCACTGTCATACCAGCCTCCTGAACCCATCAGCAATGTCCCATGACATAGAGAAGCTCAGGGATTGTGGAGCCACCTCCTGGGACCAGGGCAGCTGGCAGCCTCCAAGTTCACCTGAGGGCCAGGTATCAAACGATCCACCCCCTGTCTCCGGAGCCAAATGCCGAGAGCTCAGGTAGTGGGCAGGCGCTTGTGGGAGAGGCGGAGCCAGAGTGTGAATACCAGTCCCTGCCCACTCCCCAGAGGGCCCCACACGCCTGCTCCCAGCTGCAGGGACGGCCAGGCTCAGGAGGCTGCGTGACGTGCCCCAGTTCACACCACCAGTGCCATGGGGATTCTGCGTCTCCACTTGATTCCATGATCCCCCCCAGGGCTCCCTCAACMTGCCCACGTGCTGGAACAGCAGGGCTGGTCTGCCTTCGGCATTCCCACCGCCAGCACTGCGGGGGGCCAGGGAGAGGGTCCCGCCGCTGAGTCGTCATTCTAAGTAATGGGGCAGAGCTGCCACTCTGCTCTCTCCCTGTCCCCCACCTGACCCCGACCTTTTGTCCTAAAGGAGCTTTTTGGCCAAACACAATCTGAAGAATCGCCCCCATTGTTCCCTGTCCCCAGCTCGGGGACACGAAGGCCGGATCTCACTGACTTTTTAGGCTCCCACAGGCAGGGCTGGCTTCAGAGAAGTCAGCCTCCAGCAGTGGGAAGAGGCGGAAAGGCAGGTGGGGCTCCTCTCCCTGGGGGCAGTGCGTCCCTGGCCCTGTGGGACCATCTGTCCCACAGATGGCGCACTCACTGCCCTGCCCCAAACGGCCATCTCCTGCCACGTTTGCCCTCTACACCTGGAATTCTCCCCGCCACTGTCCCGGGGGCAAACTGAATGAAACAAGCCCCAGGTGTGGCAGCTTTCCACCTGAGTCCCATCTGAGGCTCCTCAAGCCCCCTCTCCCTGTAGCCCTCCCCAGAGGGCAAGGCTGGCTCCATCCGGGACTTTCTTGAGCAGAACTGTCGTTCACCCACCTGACACTTGCCTATGCCCCAAACCAGCATGCAATACAYCTTTGTCCCCGCACCATGCTGGTGTCTAGGGTCAGAGAGTAATACACAGATGCCCATGAGCTCCTGGGGGAGAACAAACCCCATGAAAACCCGCTAAGCACTCAAAGGACACGTGACCGGCTGCAGGTGCAGGAGCCGCGCCTCCGCCTGGGCAGGGGCTGGGAAGGCTCCAGCAGGTGTCCTTTGCACAGGGCTTTGCAGGGTGACAGCTGAGGAAGGCTGTGGGGCCAGCCCAGCCCAGAGCGTGGTGTGTCTGGGATTCTGCAGGGCTGRCCTGGCTGGACAGGAAGGCAGGTCTGGGGGTGTGGGAAGTGGCAGGCTGGAGAGGGCAGAGTCTCGGGGTCATCTAGGAGTCTGGACTGACCCTGGAGACAGGAGAGGGGAGTGAGGGGATGCTGAGACAGTGTTTTGGGATCGCCCCTTGGCGGGCTGTGGGAAGGCTGGACTGGGAGGGAGGAAGAGGTGAGAGCCTGGGGAGAGACAAGGGGCACAGGGGGCACTAAAGCAACTGGACTAGCTGGTCACGTTCCCACCCAGCTTCCAGCACCAGGGGACCATTATCCACTCAGAACCCCCTGCAGCTCCACCCCCACCCCCTGCCAGATGCCACATTCCCTAATATCCAATCCTTGGGGGCCTCTATGTCCCCCACATCTAACAGTACAGGCAGAATTCTCCTTTTTTTTTTTTTTTTGGCAGTGTTGACATTGCTGTCCACAGGGGCGGACTGGGTGACAGGTGAGCTGGGTGAGGGCTGAGCCCARGCCTATCCCTTGGGTATCCCTTGGGGACCCAGCCAGCTGGCTTGCAACGCTCTCTCTGGCCTCCCTGGACCGCAGTGCTGCATTCCTATCACCGGCATCTGCAGGAAGACCCTCCCCTCCCCTGATTCTCTGCCCCTGCCCACTCCCCAGAGGGCCCCACATGCTGCTCCCTGCGCACCCCTGTGCCTCTTGAGCTGCTGGGCCTGATGGAGTGGATGAGTGGTGGACAAGTGTGTGTCCAGCTGCTCAAGCTCAAGAGCGAGAGGCCTCCTTCCCGTGGACACAGCCCATTCCAGGCCACAGGAACTGCAGGGTAGTGCTGAATGTGCCAAAGGCCCTGCAAATCACGGCTGGGGTCAGGGAGAGCTGTCCCTGTCCTCCCTAGGTGGCTGCAGGGGAAGGGCACTGCAGTTCACCAACACAGCTTCCCTCTTGGCTACAGTTGCTATTTGTATAATCATTACTGCCTCTACCTTGCTGGACCCTCACAAGTGACCTTCATGATCCTTTTACAGACCTGCGACTAGGGCCAGGATTGGGGTAAGGTGGATAAGGCCAGCGAGGTGACAATGGTACAAAATTTCAAGAGGGGTTCCCCCTCTCAGGTGTCAACCTGGCACTTGCCTGAGACTCACAAAAGTGCTTCCCCTTTGATTTAGTGCCCTGGGGTGCCCACAAGGGGAACCTCCTCGCCCATGTCATGGAGAAACAAGTACAGAATTTCCCCAGGCAGGAGCCAGGACTCCCCAACCCATGATCAAGTACCTGAGGGCTCTCCTCAGGGCCACTCTCTTTGGTCTCTCTTGGCTGGTGGTCCTTGTTGGGGGGCAGGGGACTGGGTTCTGCGGCTGGCATGGTCCCTGCAGCGTTCCCGTTGACATAGGACGCATGGGTGCTGGCACTGGGGAGGACCCCAACCAGCGTGGAGAGAGTGCAGCTGCTCTGGGCGCTGGCGGCCTCCCTGTTCCTGGGGTCCAGCTCGTGGGGGTAGCCCTCCGGCTCCTCCAGGTCCACATCTTCGCTTTTCAAGTCCTCCGTGCCTTCCGCATAGGCCTCCAGAACYGCGGCCAGCGGCACCTCGTAATGCGGGTAGTAGAAAAGGTCGTGGGGAATGACAGAAATCTTGGAGAGGGGCGGAGAGGGCTTGAAATCCAGGCCTTCTTCGCTGTGGCTCCTGAGGGTCTCCAGGCTGACACTGCCACTCGGGGGGTTGGAAGGCAATTCTTCCACAACCCCCGGGAGGCCTTCGGCTTCCCCCTCTTCCTCCCTGAGACTCCGGGTGGACTTTCTCTTGGCCTTCTCAAACACCTCTGGCTTTTTATCCACAGGTGTCTCGTCCGGGGCCAAAGAGTGGACTTGTGCCTCCTGCTCGGAGCCCTTGGGAGGCTCCTGCCTGTCACGCTTGACCTGGGGCTCGGGCGACTCCCTCCTGGTGTGGGCGGACTTGCCCCTCTTCTTGCCTAGCTTTTCAGCAGGAGTGTCAGCGGCCACCTCCTCGGCGGGTGTCTTCTCCTGGGGCAAAGGGGCCTCAGGGAAAACTTGGCTGGTAGAAGCGAAATCGACGAGGTCGCTGTTAAATTTCGAAGCTTTCAAGGGGATGCCTTCAAAATAGTCCTCCTTATCCACAGCTTCCACGGTCAGCAGCTTCACCTTGACCTCCTGGGCACTGGCCAAGATGGTGTTTTCTCCAGGGTGGGGAGGAGAATGACCCTCCTCCCTGAGGCCAGGGGGACCCTCGACAGCACCGTTACAGGAGGAGGGATGCTGGGAGGGTTGAGCATGATCGTCTGCCCCTGGCAAGTCCCCGGGGACCCTGGTGGAAGCTGCTCCCGGGACAGCTGAGGGTTCCTGYGTTGGCTTCTTTTCCTGGGCCACTTGGATGGATGAGGCTTGTTCRTCCTGCTTCGGCAGCTCCTGGGTGGCACTCGGGCTCTCTTCAAAGCTGAGTTCGGGACCGTAGAGAGGGTCATTGCTGCAGGAGGCGTCTTTATAGGTGTCAGCCTCAAAGTGGACAGTTTTCTTGATTGGCAAAGAGTTGGACCTCCGGCCCTCCTTTCTGGTGGACAAGATGGAAGATTCCGGAGCTGGCTCACTGGTGCTACTCAACTTCCCTGGGCTCCCCTGGAGGACTTGGTCGATGAACTGCTGCATGAAATCAGTGGAGCTTTCGGAGGACAGCGCGCGGCTGGACATGCCACCCAGGCAGAATCCCCTTGTGTTCTCTGGCTGGTCACAGACAAAGACCTTGGTGGGTGGCGGGTGGCTGGTTTCATGGTTGACAGTGTAGGCCTGCTCCCCATTCTCAGTCAGGAGGAGGACTTTGCTTTCCTGCTCAGGGGGGGTTTCTTTGATGCGGACAAAGGTGGACTCAATGGGGTCTTCTTTATCTAGATCCACAAAATCTTCCTGCAAAGAATCAGAGGACAACATGAAATCAATTCAACCTCAAAGTTTAAGTACAATCTATATCCCCCTCTCAACACACACACACACACACACACACACACACACACACACACACACATACACACAGCCACTTTGACAAAGTGTTCTGATTAAGATATAAATGGCTACAAGACTTTTGTTCCTACCGAAGTGTGGCAATGTCAAATAAATAAAAAATAAAATAAATATAAAATAGTAAAGCTATGGATACAAGGAAATCTCAGTGTGCTAATCTCCAGGGAGGGCTGGGCACTTCTTAAGCGAGCAGAGACTCTCAGCTACATCATGCCACTGGACCACCGGCCCAGTCTGGGTGTGCACTGGTGGGCCACTAACCCTCTGAGCTGAGGCACGATGGACCAGATTTTACAGACTGGGAGGGCTGGAGTGGGAGACTAAATCTGGAAGGGCTAAAACCACAAAATGACTTCCTGTCATATGCTTCTGGTCCCGCATAGGAGTTTTAGCGTGTAAGAGTCAGCCGGGGGCCAGGCTGAAGAGGAGAGACTCTTGGTGGTACTACAGATTGGCCTCCCAGGCCCTGGTAGAGGGAGACTGTGCACACTGACCTCACCCTCAAATAAATGTGAAATCAGAGAACTGAAATGAAATAAGACTGTAACAGAGCTGCTCCYATCACTTCCTGATACAGTCAAAATGCTCAACTGCTTGTTCCGGGGGCTTGACTGGGAAAGGGCTGCCTCCACTGCCATGGGTATTGCCCTCAGAGGGAACTGATGTAGCTCTCATCAGACCCCAGTTGGTTCCCAAGGGAGTGAGTGTTCTAAAAGAGCAGGCCTGACCCCTGAATCACTCTCTGGCTTGCTATCTCAGAATGTGGTCTCTCTGGCACACACTTCCACCATGATGGTCCTCACCAGAGCCAACTGATGCTCCATGCCCTTGAACATCCGAGACTGTGAATTAAATCTCTTTCCTGGGCATACTACCTAGCCTCAGTTATTTTATTATATCAACAGAAAACAGAGTAATAGAGGAAAAAAAATGTTATCTACTTCAATCTCTACTATCCTTTTATATATTAGGTCTGGTATAAATTTTTTTTTTTAAATTCCTGAAGGATCATGAAAATAAAACCTATAATCAAGAGAAGCAATAGGCACTAGAAGTAGAACCACCAATGACCCAGTGTAAGAATTAGCAAAAGAAAAGACTCTGGAATAACCCTTTAATCTACATTCGAGACAAACAAAGGAAGTTCTTCATGCTGAGGGGAAATGATTAGAGAYAGAAGCCCGGATCTGAAGGGAAAAAATACCTGAAAGAGTAAACGTACGTGATGGAAAAGACTATGTATACAGTTTCTTCAAAAGTCTACTGTTTAAAGCAAAAATAACAAAGTATTGTGAACTAAAATGGATAAATAAGTAAAGGAAAGTTAAAGGGTAAAGAAATGGAGTTACACTGTTGCATTTAGAGACATACAAGATGCACTGTATCTGAAGTGTGTGATAGTCATTTAAGGTAGGTTAAATGATGAGCATTACAATCCCTAGAGCAACTGATTCATCAAGTTGTTAAAATGATAAAATGATTCATCAAGGAGATGTGGCTACCAGGCCCAAGGAGGAGAGAAAATGGACACCAAAAAACGGTTGTGTAATTAAAAAAAAAAAAAAAAAAAGAGTAGTTAGGAAGAACAAAGGAACACAGAACAGATGGGATCAATGGAAAAGGGTGATCCAGATGGCAGATTAAAACCATGTAGCAGGACAGAAAATGCACTGATTAAATGAAACAGCTTGTCAGATGGATAAGAAATAAGACTCAGCCGTATGCTGTTTATATGAAACATACTTTAGTGCAAGTGCTCATATCCATGAAAGGAAAAAAGATGGAAAAATATCATATAACACTAATCACAAGAAAGCTATGACTACATCAGAAAAAGCATACCTCAAGACAGAGAGAAATGTCATAAAAACAGAGGTGTCAAGYGATTAGGAAGATACAAGGGCCCTAAACGTCAACACACCAAATAGCACAGTACCCACACACAGAAGGCAAAACCCGACCAAACTGAGACAAGCAAGTCTGCAGACCTAGTTGGAGACTGCCAAACACTTCTTTCCTGTTCTAACTGACAGAAATGCATAAAAAAGAATCAGTCTGCAGATGGACTATTAGAACAGCATATTCACGCATGAGCAGTATATTAAAGAATGTTAATTCTTTAACTGCCTAAGACACATTCTTCTCAAGTCCGTATGGTATATGCACCCAAAGACACCATATTCGGGGCCATGGAGTGAGGCACAGCACCTCGTCTGTGGCCAGCGCTGGGTGAGTGTGGCATCRTGAAGGCCCAGCTCAGGGACGTCTGGTGAGCTGAGAATTCTCATCTGTGTCCCTTGAGGGTGTAAACGATTGCTTTGCAGTGAAGCACTGTGTCCTGTGACCCAAGACGAGTTTCCCCAGGAATTGTTCTTTAACTTCTCTATTCTCAGCTGCGTCTCTGATGCCAGCACTGGGGACACCCAAGTGTCAGCTGGGCTGAATCCTGACTGCGGCCTTGATTCACACAAACACCACTAAGTCTGAGTTGATTTCAAATTCTGCCTCCTGATTAAGAGGTCAGGATTAAGGAATGCCCTGAGGCCTGGTATTTGGAATTTAATAAAGGGCCAGGAAAACTGAATTGCAAAAATAATTATCACTGCTCCACGCAGAACGTCCACTGTTGTGTCCGGCCCAAGGCTGGGAACAGTCTAGTTATTCTTCACACGGCCCCGAAACGTGGGTAAAATCTCCACTTTRCAGTTGGCATCTGATGCAGATGTCAGGGAAGCTGAGTAGCCAGCCTGAGGTCACAGGGCTCCAAACAGCAACAGTGGCATTCCTGCCCAGGAATCCCTGCCTCCACACTGCCCTGGGAAGTATTCCAGGGTGCTAGGACGGATGGGACGACAGCTGCAGCACCTGGTGAGGCTCTTCAGTGGGAAATGGGGTGCCAGCCTCAGATGCATGTTGTGAGGGACCTAACAGACTCAGCTTTGTAACCTCAGACTTTGTACTTAATAGCTGAGTGACCCTGGGGAGACGTTTAACCCTCTCTGAGCACCCATAGTCCCATCTATAAGAAGAGGCTACTGATTCTGAACCAGGCTGGATGGCAGGAATGGCCTGGAAACACAGGGGCACAGTAAAATAATCAGTATCCGGCAAAAAGAGCAGTCCGTCCCCCTTTCCTACAAGCATTCTTTAACTCTTTATGCATCTCTTCTTTTCTGTTTATATTTACAACTGCTTGATATAATAATGTGTTTGCTGACCCATTAATGATTTTCCCTATGGAACCAAGCTACACAAAGTTAGGGACCTCATCTGTCCAATGGTATGCCTGAATGTATGATGTATGACTATGTATCTATCCATCTGGGGGTGGAATCCAGGGCCTGGTGCATGCTGGGCAAGCACTCTACCAWGGAGCTGCACCCTCAGCCTGGTCCAGCTCCTTGCTKAGTCCCCTGAGCCAGCACTCCACATCCAGTAAAGAATGGATGAATTCACAAGGCTGTGGCTATTGTCACTGTCATTCTTTTTGTTGAYGTTATCTCAGGGCTGTGCATGGTGGGGGAGGGGTGTTCTATGAAGCCATCACTTCTGCAAAGTGATTCTGCTCCAAAAATATTCTATCCCAAGTATATCTGAGGTTCTGAAGATATAAAGCATGTCTATGAAGGGTGTGTGTGTGTGTGTGTGTGTGTATATATATTTTGTTGTTGTTGTTGTTTTTTTATTGGGGGGGTACCAGGGATTGAACTCAGGGGAACTCAACCACTAAGCCACATCCCCAGCCCTATTTTGTATTTTATTTAGAGACAGGGTCTCACTGAGTTGCTTAGTGCCTTGCTATTGCTGAGACTGGCTTTGAACTTGCAATCCTCCTGCCTCAGCCTCCTGAGTCTCTGGGATTACAGGCATGTGCCACCACAACTGGATCAATATATTTTTAACACTGATAAAGGCTGGTGATTGTTAAGATGTTCCGCCTGACAGCTGAAGAATCAWGTGGCTGATCTGCATCATAAGTGGATGTCTTTTATAATTTTATAAAGTTTGCAATGGGAAGAGGTTTGGCAAAGAGGTGACCAGCTTCCTCCCCAACTTTTACACGTAATCTATGTTATATATAATCTGGAAGTTAAAACATGGCAAGGCAAGGACCACCAACTTGTGGTTGTCCCTGTTAACAGAGAATGACAGTCCAAGTCCCCGCTGGGTCTGATGGCAGCCAGTGGAAATGTACACTTTTTGAAACGGAAGGCAAGGAAAACCAACATACAGCTTCCAGCTCCGGAAAACGTTCTAGAAACTGGGCCACGTAAGTCACGATCGACTGCTCGTCCGGCGTGTCAACCATGATGTCTGTCAAGAGAGACACGGGGGTTAGCAGGACACAGGGTTTCCCCACAGCACTGCAGGGCGCTCAGTGGAGAGGCCCACCGATCATCGAGGGCTTTCTCTTTTTCTAAGTAAGGAAATTTGGGCTCAGAGAGGGTGAATCCCTTCACTGAAACCTCACAGCAGACTGGTGAACCAGGATGGAAAGCCACGGCTTCTTATTCTGAACGTGCCGTCCATCCTTCCCTGTGTCTTAGTCRCTCCCACTGGGAGCAGATGGCTCACTGCTGGCTCCACCAGCAAGTCTGGTGACTTGTGCACCCCACTGACTGCCACAGGGAGTCCCGAATCGCTCAAACCCTGGGAAAGCCATGTGACAGAAGAGACAGCTGAGTTCCTTCGCTCGGTGCAGACCCTTCCACTCTGCCACTCTGCTGCTGGGACCTGCCCTTGAGGGGACAATCTGAGCTGCCTGCTGAGCTTTCTGCAGTGCTGCCCACTCTGGGTAAAACAGATCATTTCTGAAGCCCCCTTGACGGCCATGAGCAGGGAGGAGCCGAGTGAATTTTAGTAGGCCTACTGGGTGCTTTTTATCTTTACTGGTGCCTGACATCACAGCAATATGTGAGATGYGTGTGTCAACTTAGCTAAAACAGTAAGAGACAAGATGACACATACACTGAACAATGCCAACTACRTCACAATATTATAAATGGGTGCCTTAAAAATATGGGAATATAGGAGATAGAAGAATTTTTTGTATTTTTCAAATTTTCTACCTGGAACAGTAGGGGGTACGTTTATGATAAGAATCACTGAGAAGGAACCACGGAGGAGTGAGCGTCGTGCTACCTTCTGGTTCCAGGAGCCTGGGGATATGCAGGGCCTCGTGTGCGACTCGGAAGGCCTTCTCCAGGTTCTCCCGCRCRGAGTCTTCCAGGGCCTGCTTCATGTCCACCAGGCTGGGGTCAATGGCCTTGATTACAGCCAGGAAAGCCAGCCCGCTCCGCCAGCTGCCCGCGAAGTCCTGCACCGCCACGCCATACCTGGAGGAGGACCACAGCGGCACACCGTGCAGGTGAGTGAGCCGATCAGGACAGGGGCAGTGGCTGCAGTGGCTGCAGTGGCCCCAGGTGTAGACCCCTGCCCCATGGTCAACCTAATGCACAAGGAAGGTGGCACATGGAAGCCACTCGTGAGGTGGCACCGACTATCGTTATTACTATGAATAAAACAGCAAGGGAGGGAATTCTGCCAGGCATCAATTCCCTCAGCCGCTGGCCCGGGGTACGCTGGGGGCTGGCGCTTCGCTCTGGTTCACCTATCTCAGTTTTGAGCAGGCCAAACCTGACCTTGACTATGTTACCGCCCATGCTGTTACTTCTATAAAGTAGATACAAACTCTGAAAGACACCCTGAGGCTTAATGATAAATGGGCACATATTTCCAGAACCCAAGAGATGAGCCATTTGGGAGTTGGTGYGGCGACAGCCCCTCTGAGTTCCGTTCAGATCCTCTCATCAGCTCTGTGTGCAGACACCACTAAGCACAGTGCTCCCTGCTCTGAAGGCACACAGGAAGCATCTGCRTGGGCACAACTGGCATCTTAAGAGCTGGGAACTCCCCTCTTCTTCGCCCCTCCAGGGAAGGGGACCCTCCTCCCTTGGCCTGAAAACCCCTCATTAACTGTTCGGTGGGCAGAGGGCCCAGCTTACTTCCTTGTTTTTCTCTGTACCCATGCCAACAGGGTCTTGATGGCCTTCCTCTGGTCTTTCACTGATATTGCCACGTTCCTCTCGGTGGTGGGTGTAGGWGGGTAGGAAGAGTCAGAATCTGTGCCCCCCGAGCCAGGTGACAGACTGGAAGATGGAGAGTTTCTGTTGAGGTTGCCCGTGAGCTCCTTAATCTAGAAAGAAAACAGCAGTTCAGACACCAGGGCCAGACAGACGCTYCCGGTGAGCAGCCCTGTGTTGACCTGCAGCTCTCAGACGTGGCTGGAGGGACAGGCTCACGCAGAGCTGGTTCTCTGAAGGGAAGAAGCCTGTCCGACGGCGGCTGGTTGCTCTACTGGGGGTGTAGGTACCCTCCAAGGGAAGGATCAGCCCCTCCGGCAGCCTATGCCGCTCTGGCCRGCCTCCGCACACAAGGTCTTCCTGACCCGACTCCATGAACCCCCCTTTCCTTATCACCTGCCACTCCCAGGAGATATTTCAAGGCCACTGTCCCTGCTCAATCGAGTTCTGCTGCCCGGCTGTCCCTTTCTTCCAATCACATGCACTTAGGAGAAACGCAGAACCCCAAGCCTTGCCCCAGACCAACCTACGGAGTCTGAACCTGCATTTCATCCATTCCCCAGCGAATCTGAGAARYACTGYTCACACACAYTCCTATTCACTCTTCAAAACCCAGCTCTGGTCCCTTCCTCCAGGAAGTCTGCCTCACTTCCCTTGCTCAGCTGAGGTCACTGCCCCTGCTTGGGGCTCTTACATCACCAGATCACACCTTGGTCATGGCCTGCACCCCAGAATTCCATAGCAGGGAGTGACCTGTCTGTGATCCCAGAGGGTTGAGAGGACAAGGGCCTCACAGGTCCAGGAGCTKGCATGCTGGAGAAACTCAACAGATATGTATCAAATGAATGAGTGAGGCTGTGGTCAGAATTAAAGCCTTGACTTTTAACCATTTCTGATCATTTTAGCATCTCTTAGGATACTCCACAGTAGGGTTCAGTAACTAACTCCTGCATAAAACACTAGACAGTGGACAAAGAGCCCTTGCACGTGGCTTTTCTGGCTGCTCACCACATTTTATGAKCACTGCTCCCATTTCACAGTTGTGGATATTGAGGCTCAGAGATACAGAGACTTTCTTTTTAAGTTCAAGACTCACACAGAATGGGATCCAATTTTGTTTGTGCTTGTGTCTCTGGAAAGTAATCCTTATGCCAAAAGTTCAAGGAAATCTTTCGCAAGTGGATCATTTAATAACAAACCATTATTTTCTATTTCCAGTTCTATTTCAGTGAWYAGCAAAGTCAAAGTCTGTAGCAACYGAGTCTCACTGACTCCCTTGAGCTGGACCCACACTGTTCTGTTGGGACTAAGTGGACTCGAGACCCTTATAGTGTGTTACAGAAAGGACATTATTTTACCTGGAAGAAGAGGATTATGTTCCATATGAGGCCAAGAACCAAAGAGGGGTTGCCGTCTGCTATTTCTGCCGCATCGATGCTAACCAGCTTAACCTGGAGAGAAGCAGTCCGTCAGCTTACAGGGGGTTCCAAGGAGGACCATCTCTGCTATTTTCTGTCATCGTCTTAAGCCTGTTTCTCTTGCTCACCCTGTGCCATTTGGCACTGGCCAAGACCATCTCTCAGGGACACTCAGAATGCAGAAGCATATTTAATGAGCACATACACARTGCTTTCCATGGGAGACACCATCAACTCAGTCTGTACTCATAACAACCCTAGGAGGCAGGGGCTTCTATTAACCCTATAGTTCAGAGGACATTTCAGAGAGGTTAAGTACAATGAGCCCAGGGCCACACAATTTGTAAGGTTTCATTCAGTAGATCTTTTCCAAGGATAAACGGCAGGTGCCCAGGAGATCTGCTTGTAGGCTGCACCTAAGGTCACTGCGCCTCTGGATTGAGAGCACCCTTGGACAAAGACAGAACACCAGCAATTACAGACCCTGGGGGTGGGGTGAGAGAAGGGTAAGGCCACAGGAGATTAGAAATAGTGAGTTAAGATTGATAACCAGAGATTCTGCACCATTGCAGAACATTCTACTGACTGGATACAATGTTTCCATTGGTTACAATGTTTCCACTATAGAAATCCCTAAGGAATTACCTGCTTTATTTAATCACAGAATGATGCTCTTGGTAAAGTCCTAAGGCCAAGTGTGACCCCTGGATGGGCAGCACCATCGCCTGGRAACTTTTAGAAATGCAAATTATCYCCTACACTGATCATCAGCTCTGCATCTCTCTGGGAAGGGCCACATTGCCTTCTCTTTGCTGAACAATTCTGTAAAAATGTCTAAAACATCCTTCAGGGGGAAGAGAAGAGAAATAAGATAAGTCAAGATAAACCCCACAACTCCCACKGCAAAGTTCTGCCTGGGGCACTGGGAAAGGAAAAATGAGGAGAACCATTACACAGATCTTTTCTTTCCCCACTTCTTTCCTCTCTCCTTTTCCATCACGGYTTTTCCAATCATCTGACACTGGACCCTGATCCGGTCTGTTTGCTGGGGGTTCCTGACACCGCCCGCCCGTCGGCGAGGCCTGGCTCACCTAATTGAGGGAGACTCCCGAGTCCCCTGGCTGACGTCGGTTTGGCAGGCTGATGCCAAGAATGTAATTCAGACAACAGGGGCTCATCGCGGGCAGGCGGGAGGCCAGGAAGGAAGTTGTCAACATTGTGAATAACACAGCCAATCAAATTTGGGTCCCATATTCTGTCCCCATCTATCACAAGCACATGTCAACAGGACGGATCACTGGCTAGCCTTGGCTGCCCTTTCCCAAACCCCTGCTCTTGGCAGTCACTGTTTTCATTCCAGTCCAGGGGAATCAAAGCAATCAGCCAGCCTGTCTTCCTCGTCTTTCCTCCCGCCTGGAGGAAGCCCAAGTGACAAGTGATGGCCACCRCCCTCTGAGCTGGGGTTCCAGAAGGAGAGAAAGGCAGAGCTGCCTTGTGGGGTGCCGCGAATATGACGGCATCCTGTCCCCAGAGAGGGGAGAGGAGAGGGCTGAGCAGGGAGCAGCGACCCTTGGGAAGGCCGTTTGGAGAYTAAAACACTGTCCAGGGCCAAGAGAAGGTGGTGGCACCTAAYGATCTCAGGGCCTAAAGAAGCAGATAGCCCAAAGGTTTTGGTTTGCCTGGACATTTTTCATTTTGGGGGGAATGAGCAATGTARCAGCCCGACTTGAGTCTAGAGCTTCAGATATGGTTTCCCCTCTTCCTCTCAACTCAGCTGGGCTTTCCAGACTGAAAGCAAATGGATCAACTAACTGGTTTCTGGGGTTACTTCTCCTCTGGGCTGGCACACCTTGGAGCAAGAGTTGCCGGCCAGTGGCTTTCACAGGTTAGTTCTTTTCACAATCACAGTGCACCCATTTCACAGAGGAGGAAGCCAAGGCTCATACTGAATGGCTTGCAGGAGGTCACGGGCCTGGTCCTGTGGGGCAACCCATTTCTGCCACCGGAGTCAACACTGTGATATTCAGTGGGGAGGGTGGGCAGCTCTGTGGAGCCACGTCTGCATCCCGGAGCAAGCAGGAGGACCTGTCTGCCCTGGGATCCAGCCCCCAGCTCTGGGCACTGCTTTGGCTCACCAGAGCCAGTGAGGGCTGTCTTCCTGGAGCAGGGACAGCAGGACAGGGAGGAGCCACAGGGCCCCTGCGTACTCTGGGAATTCTGGGAATGGCCAGCGGCTACATCTGGAAGCCCTGTTCGCATCTGTCCCCCTCACTGGTGGGCATCTTCCCGCTAGGCCACTCACTCTCCCACCTGCTTGTTAAAGRGGCCAAGCTAGGCACAAAGCTGACATGCACCACCCTGGGGATTTTCCCAGATTTATACTGTAATTCAAGACTGGAGGAGCCATAATGGCCTATCGTACAGGAAGGCATTGTGGAAGACAGTTCATGAAGACTACTGCACTTTTATCTCTAGATTTACACATAGACTATGAAGGCCAGGCCTTCCTGAGCCTTGGCCCTGTGCTTTCCCATCCCGGGCTCAGCCCTGCATCCTTGACTCTGCAGGATCACAGCTTCTCTGCCAAGCGAGGCCTCTTCTTCCTGACCCCAAGTGTCCTGAAGGCTCAGATGCACTTCTCAAGCTGCTATGTTTCCAACATGGGGTGCAGCCCCAGGCCACGGGCAACACATGGTAAATGGTCCCAGGGGCCTGTAGGAAGCAAGCCTACTGCCTACCCGGGGGGTGGGGTGAGGATATGCTCAGGAACAGGGTTCGCCACATCAYGGGGGATTCATCCGTGTGGGCAGTCAGCACAGGAGAAGTGCATTTCAAGGTCAACCAAGGCGGAAGGAAGAGCAATGAGTACCTCAGACAGTTGCTCCAAGGCCTCACGCTGTCCCAAGTACAACGTCCCTGTGGAATGCAGGGTAGGCACTGMGACAAAGATAAGGCTGACCCCGACACAGAGGTGGGTGTCACAGTGAGCAAAGCCCATCAAGAGCGGGGAGTGGCAAGAGCTCCCCAGTGAGCCCTATTCTGGGCCCGGTAGGCCTTGCTTCTGTCACCTACTTAGAGAGGTAAGTAATCTGCCCATGGTTCCTGGAAGTGAGGGAGTGACCACGGGCTCCAGGCCGGGGCTGATCCACGTTCACGTTCAGGCTCAGGGTGYGACTAGCTCTGCAGACAGGAGGCTTTCAATAGATGTAGGCGATGCCTGCTTTTTAAACAGCTTCATTGAGAGAGAAGCGRTGTCTGTTCCATGCACCCCCCTAAAGCACTGGATTTAGGTACAGGGGAGGAGAAGCTCCGCCACCACCTATTTTAAAACATCTTCGCTGCCTCTAAAAGAAGCTCCATACCCTCTCTTCACCTTGTTCCTCTGCCTCCCCCAGCCCTTAGCGACCACTACTGCACTTTTATCTCTAGARGTTTCCCTGTGCTGGGCATGTCACATGGATGGAATCACATACTGAGCACTCCTACTCCCAGGCTGTAGGGGGCCACCTAGAGACAGAGGGGCAGGAAAGTGGGGTCAGCCCTCACAGATCCTCCAGGTGGGCTCTGCAGCGATCCTGGCACCTGGCACCCCTGGGCACCATCCCCCATTCTCCAGGCTTTCCGTTCATTCCATGAGCTACTTGGCATCCTTTCAACAAATTCCCTTCTGCTGAAATCAGCCACCATCARCCTCTGTGACTTACCCGAGGACCCAGATGAATCAGACGTCAGGATAAAGTTTTAGCTGAAGACTTTTTTTTCTTTTTTTTTTTGAAGCTTAGATTAATTGCTGAAATCTAATGAAACTAGAGCTTTGGAATTTCAACCCTCTTGGGCCACCCTAACCCATCTGCAAGGGATCCAAACACAGAAAAGATGGACTCAGCCTCCAAAGTCCTATCAAAGAGGAGGGGATGCTAAGATGTCCCCCGTACCCTTCACCCCCTCTCCTCCTTTGTTTTTGTCATATTCTAAGTCCTAAGAGAAAGTTTTACCCTCTGGTACGTCTGCTGCACTCTTAGAAATGCAAAGGTCAACTAAATTCCAAAGATCTGAGAGCCAGTCAGCAGCCCCGCCCTCCCCCAGGCTGGCTGAGCATCGAGTTCCAAAACTGGTAGACATGGGGTGGGGTAGGCAGGGTCAGGCAGTGTCCCCCACGAGTGGATGATCTGATTGCCATTCACTGGAGCTCAGTTTACTTTGGCCATGCTAGCTGGATGACCGGTTCACATTTCGTGACCAGCACTGGACTTCCCGCGAGTCCTTCCGGTCACAGGACAAGCTCCCATTCACAAGAGGAGCTCCAAACACTTACATTGCTATCTTCCAAAAACTTAAGAGCTTTCGCTATGTTGTTCAGCCGAAAAATACGATGTGATGAGGATTTGTATTCATGCAGCTGTAAAACAGAAGGAGAGGAACCAGTTAACCCACCCAGGCACCTCGGGAGGCCCCAGGGTGGCAGGAGATGGGGTGGCACGCTTCTCCTTTACCCTTTTCACATGAATGTCTGGAGAAAGTTAGGGTCCTGTGGCTAAAACCCACCTGGACTGCATCCAAACCCACACACAAGTGCATCTTGGGGTGTGCAAATGGAATGTCAGGGACCCTCAACAGTCAGCCTTGTGCGGAACCTGGGACTTAACTCACTGGAGCTGGCGAATGCAAGGGACCCAAATAAGTCTCCAAGGGACAAATCTGTCCAATTTCTCTCTTCCAGCCAGCTCCTGGCTTGTTGGAATCCCCTGTCCTCCAGAGACCTGCAATAACATGCTCTCCTTGCACTAGGGACACTCTAGTGGGGACAATGAGCTGTCCTGCATTACCACTCAGCTGCTAAATCATCCAGCCAAGCCCTCCCTGGTGGCAGCAGATGTTTCTGGTTTGGGCCAAGAGCTTTGTGGGCCGTTATCTCAGGTGGAGAGAGAGAGAGAGAGGCCTGCAGAAGCTAAGACTCTGACAACACCCCAGGGTAGGGCCCCCTTGGAGGCTCCTGTGCTTCCTGGGAAACATGTGCCACTTCAAGGCCAAGCTAACAGGGAGGCCGAGGTCTGCTCTTGGCTCCTGAGGACGTGGAGGAGATACCACCAAGGCCACCACGGGGTCTGCTGCCCGTGCTCTGACACCCAGGTGGGGAGCCTGTGTCACTGGGAGTGCAGAACAAGGCGCCAGAGCACAGTTTCTCATGCAGCCTTCTGGGGCCCGTGCTGCTGGCTCCCTGGAGACCTGCTAAGAAGCCAAATGCTATTTCTGCAGCAATGGGTTCGCCCTTCACTAGAATTCCTTGCCTGTCCCCACACGGTCCCTCTGAGCGACGGGCATCTCCTCCTCTGCTATTGGGAAGGCACAGGTGGGAGGGGTCGGTGAGAGCCCAGCCACGCTTGACCTGAGAACAGCAGTGGGGGCTCTGACGGAACAGCCACGAGCAGACGGCAGAAGTCCTTGCTGGCTGGGCTACGTCCTGTAGGCACGACGTGTCACCAAGGCCAATCCAAACACCGGAGTCTAGAGCAACATTTTCAGCCTCCACACAACTGGGGCTTTGGACTGGATCCCCCTCAGGGAACATGTGGCAATATCTGGATGTTTTTGGTCACTGTACCAAAGGGTGCTAGTGGCACTTAGCGGTCAGACACTCAACATCCTGAGGTACACAGGACACACTGCACAACAAACACTATCTGCCAGAGACCCACTCCAGGCAGAGGAGAAGCAGACACCCGGACCACGGAGAGGAACGAATGCCCACATCAGTGGACATCCTTCAAGGTCAGTGCTATTTAAAAGAATGTTCTAGAAGCCAGCAGTTCTAGGGCTAGCCTCAGGTTAGATCACAGAATTTGGTTGGTAAACATCCTTCAATTTTTCTGATTCTTAGCTGTTATTCTGGTTAATAACTGGCTAGCTGCACTTTAATTTCTAGTTCCAATTCTTACCCATCACAGGTGTGCGGTAAACACTGGGCATTTACTTATTTACTCACTAAGATATATTGGCTTTTTAAAAAAGATACGGCTTAGCTACAGGTATATCCCACTGATAAGGAGAGTCGCCCTTCTGTGTGTCTGGCTGTAGGACTTTTGCACCTCCTGGCGCATGTGCACTCCATCTGCCCCTGTGGTCATGCTCTGGAGCTTAAATGCCCCCCAAAGGCTAAAGGCCTGGTTGCAAGCCTGTGAGGCTCCCGGAAGGTGCTGGAACCTTTTACAGGCAGAGCCTAGTAGGCAGAAGTGTGGTCACTGGGAGTTTATCCATAAAGGGGACACTGGGACCTCAGCCTCTTCCTCTCTCTCTCTCTCTCTCTCTCTGCCTCCTGGTGGCCCTAGGTGAGCATCTGCATTGCCATGTGCTCCCACCCTGAAGTTCTGCCTCATCTCAGTCCCAAAGCAATGGGGCCAAATGACCTTGGCCTGAAACCACGAGCCAAATAAACCTTCCTCCTCACAGGGGCTTGTCAGAGCCACCGAGGGCCAGCACCTGTCTACTGGACAGAACCCTTCGGCTCTGCTTCCCCGTGTGTCTTATTTCCTCCGGATCCTTCTGAAACATACGTACCAGGTTTCGCCCAGACAGGACTTCTAACAAAGCCATTAGGATTTTGCCATCTTGTATATCAACGAATAGGTCTGTAACTTCTAGAGGTGGGTCACACTGTGGAGCATGGGGAAAGAAAGCAGCCGATTAATGCCTGCATAATCCACAAAATTATGTCAGAGAGGCAGGTTTCAGATCGAGAGAAGGCTTCCAGACATCCAGGTCTGTCTCTAGGCAGAAAGCCCATCCAAGGGAGTAAGAGGCTCGTCCCCTGGAGGTGACTCCTGGGCAGCACTCGCACAGCCACCTGGCAGGTGAGCTGTGCAAGAGATTCAGCAACAGGAGACTAATTCAGTAAGTGACCTTGGGGATCCTCCAAGCCGGAGATCTCAGACCCCAGAGTTGATCACATCCATGTTTCTACTTACAGTTAGAAAGAAATGGCACGTCCTGATAGCCTTTGGATTTGGGAAAACCAAGGCTCAAAGAGGATCGGTGAGAGATCCAGCGTTTGGTTAAACAGCCCTTTGATAAAATTCTGCTCCCTGCATCAGGCCGTGATGGCGGGACTCAAGTGTACCCCAGATCTGCACTGGGTTAGCTGCACTCTAGCCTCAGGCTGGGTATTGGCAGGGTCCCCCAACCTTCAGACGCTCCTGTCTCCAGATGTGCACCCGCCTGAGGGTCTGTCAACTAAATGAACTTGATAATAACTCCTCTGATGTGGCATGGTGGGGACTCCCCCCCATATACACATTTTTTTTCTTGGTGCATTATAGTTGTACAAGTGATGGATTCGTTGTTACATATTAGAACATGCACATGATGTAACAATATAATTTGGCCAATATCCCTCCCCAGCACTTCCCCCTCCCTTGGTGCCTACCACTCTTTGTTCACTTTCCTCTTCTGAGCTCCCTTTGATTTTTAAGAGATCTACCCCATGGTGGGGACTTAACGTCATGGAGCAGGGTCAGAAAACCTGCATTCTTCAGGGGCTCCAGGAGAATTCCTTTTGGGAATGGGATTTTGGCCAGTTGAGAGTGGTTAGCCTGGGTGCTCTCTTTGCTCCTGGCGACAAAGGAAGGGCTGAGCTTTCACATAGGAGGCATGAGTAATGGAATGCAGTGACCCTGGGCCGTGGCAGCCCTAGCCAGCCAGAGACCCCAGGTGGGAAAAACCTTGGCGACACAGTGGAACTGTGGCCAGTCACCCTTCTCCTTTGGGAAAGCCCTCTTCCTTTCCATCAAGCCTTGGAAGGACTGTGCTTTATTTTTTATTAGGGGAAAGCAGCATTTCCTTACCTTTTATACGAGTCCCTGTGCCCCCAGTTAGTCAAAACACAGGGCGATTCCACCCACAGGTGCACAGAAAAAGGTTCTGCTTCGAGGGCAACAGCAACTTTGAACCAAAAGGCAAACTATTTTCTTTGCAAACTCCCCCAGCTCCTTGGGCACATTCCACACCAAACACGACAGCCTCGGGTGACTGTGGCTCTTACGGAAATGTGATTCCTGCTAACTCGAGGCAGAAAGGAGACACCCGAACCAAACCCCCCTGATGAATGGACTAACAAAATTTCCAGTTACCGGCCCTGACTGGGGCCGGGCCTGACTCTGGAGTTCAACCTAAAGAATAATTTCCACTGGCAGTTCCTGTAAGTGCCTCCGCCACGACATCAAACAGGGTCTTGGCCGGGGTCCATCCTGCGGGGTGGCAGGGGGAGGCGTTGAAACCGCTCCAGGGAAAACAGTCCCAGCCTGAACATTCCCGGGCTTCAGGGGATGGGTATGGCCGAGTCCACTGCACCCCCAGGGCTTTCTGCATGATCTAACTCCTTCGGTAAATGAGGGAATTTTTCCAGAAGCCAGAGACTCAGTAAATATTCCTGACAGCCTTCAAATTGCAGTTAAGCCCAACTCACCAAGGAGTTCCTGGTTCCCGCCCATGAGAGGCCGCTCTTGAAAGTCTCAGGGTTGGAACATGGCTGTTAATTTTCCCCTATTTATTATGCGTCAGGTTCAGGTGCTATCGGATTTATCTACAGGGCAGCCGCTACCCACCTGCCCCGAGAAAGGGGCAGGAAGTTGGCAGAGGAGAGAATCCTTGGAATGATAGCTGCTGACACAGGTTCACTCCGGGTGGCGAGGGAGTGCAGGGGTGTCGCCGGCCCTGGACGACGCTCTGTTCTTTTCTGTGTTTATTTATTTACAAATAATTTTATAAAGAAAGAATGACAGAAATCCTCCCTGGCTCTCCTTGGCCCCGCAGCAGGAGTCTCAGCCACCTTGGTGCACGTCAGGCACCTCACTGTAGAAGCAGCACTGAAGGTGCACCGAGAATCCAGGCCAGTGGCAAATGATTCCTAATGCTTCCTGCATGATAAGGAAGCGTTTTATCCACAGAGTTCAGGGTGCTCGTGGCTAGGTCACAGCCCTGGGGTCGCCCGCATGCAGCAGGGAGCAGAAGTCCGGTGGTCATGTCATGTGCCTGCTCGGGAGATATTCTAGCCTAAAGGTGAACTGTATGAATCGGAATTTCAGTCAAGAGTTCTGATTCCCAAGATCCACACTRACTTTCTCTGTTTTCTAATCATTCAATGACCTCCGCTAAGCGCAGAGAGCCGTTGCTCTAGCACATTTAAAAGGAGAGAGGAGAAAGGAGACACACTGGGTCCCATAAAGTGGAGTGTCACCAGCTTCCAACAGAAATGAGACCCTGGCTGGTCTTCAGCACCAGAGAGAGGGAGTTGGAAGAGGGGAAGTCAGCGACATGGATCCTGATAAACTCAGCTGTCTGAGAAAAACAGCGCCCCATCCCGCAGCTCCAGCCCACGCAGGACACCTTAAGGAGGGTCTGGGCCTCCGCTGCCCCCCGCGAGCCTCGCATCCAGAAATGAGCGTCTCCCCTCCCCCTCCCCAGCCCTCCCATCCCCCATCTGGTCTGCAGCCCCTCCTTTGATCTGGGGCTGGCTTTGGTCTGGTGGGTACAGGTGCAGTCCACAGAGAAAATGCAACTCAAAAGGGAAGGGCCAAAGGACGTAAGGAAGAGAGGCGGGGAGGGCCGCTGAGCCCAATACCCAGCAGAAGGCGGGTGACACCAGGTCTGGGGGCCTCGTTTCCCCCTTCTAACTGGACAGAGGGAATCCGGGCTGCTGTGAGGACTAACGAAGCTCCTGCTGGTGCCTGGTACTAAGCATGATTGGTGTGGGTGAAGCACACCATAGGGGCAGGCAACGTCTCCCATCAACRGGAACGTCATGTCACTAGTCTGGCTTGGACGAAAGACACATGCAGGGCTCTTGCACAAAGCAGCCCAATGCCTGCAGATGGCTCTTAACGTGTCCCACGGTGGATGCCAGGATGCTCCTAAGTGTCTGAGGCACGGGTGAGGCCTTCTTGGCTGTGGGACTGTGCGGGGTTTTCAATATCAAATGCCTCCTGCCATTTGCTTCGTGGATCCAACCTCCCGGCCCAGCTAGACTGATGATCCCAGGAAGACAAACTGTGTCTTATCTCTGTGCTCCCGACACCAAGGGTGAGACCAGCAGTACAAAGCCCTCGAAGCCCTTGCGAATGTTTAAACTGAACGACTTCAGGGAACAGCCGCCGTCTCCTCCTGGMTGGTCGCTCATCTGTAAACTCGGGTATGGATCAATCTATGGCTTGACAATCCCCCGGGGGCCCACTCACCTTTTCCAGATGTAGATTTATCCATCGAGTAAAAGTCCTCTTCTGCACATTTTCCCTCTCAACTGAAAACAAAGAATTGCCATTAGTGGGACAGCAGGGGACAAATGRCAGGGAGGCCTGCAGAATCCTGCCCTCCCCCTTCCCAGGGGACATTCCATGCAGTCTGCAGAAAGAGCCCTGTGGTGTCCCAGGTCAGAACAGAGACTTCCAGAAGGGGGTCGGCAAGGGCTTATGTGACACCCTGAGCCCATTTCCCCAGCCCCAGCCCTGAGCAAATGTGTAACCCACGAATTCAGACACAGGACAACATGTTCTACGCGACTGGCCGTGAGCACCTGGACCTTTGACTCTGCAGGATCAGAAGCGCTGGTGGGAAAATACAAGCGAAGCCCCCGGCAGTGGTGCTGCTGCAGGGCGGCCTGGTGCAGACACAGGCCTGAGTACCTACAGGGGAGGTGGGCTGGGGTGGGGTCGACGATTAGGAATTAGGATGGGGCCTGGAATGTGCCAGAGAGTGCTGGGAGAATTTGACAGGTGTGGGTCAGGCTTAGCACTGTCATCTCTGGGCTTTGTGTGATGGGGTCAGCCACCCACCCCCGTGCCCAGTCTGCACACTGAGGATAAGCAGCCCATCCCCCGGTGCCGTGAGGACACTTGGGCTCCTGCAGTWCCATGTGCAGCCCAGTCCCAGTCCCTGGCCACTCATTTTTGGTAGCTACTGTTTTTAGACCCAGGAAGGGAGAATGCTGCAGCCACCTGCTTCCGCACCTCGGTGACAGAGGACACGAACCAGGACCGGGTGCCTTTGTCTCGGGAAGGATGCTGCCCAGCTGGGCTTCTTGGCAAAGTTCTCACCATGAAGGGCCACTGCCACCACTATCCCTTCCAAGCGGTTTGTTTACATGAATCTGAACCTTACAACCCCTGTGCCAAGTGGAAACTGCTGTTCTACAGATGAACAAATGGGCTCAAAGGGGCCCAGAGTTTGCCCAGGGCATCAGTGGGAGAGAGGCCAGGGTGGCCCTCAGGACTGTCAGCCAAACTGCCGGTGCCCTGCCAACGGAGCCAATGACAGCAAAGGAGTCTGATAGAAACCACCGTGATTTGAAAAAGAGCCAATGAGCACGAGGCAATGAGCCCGTGCTGCGAGGCAGACGCCGAGCTGGGCCCTGAACAGGCATCAAATTGTTAATCCTCACTAGGGCCCCAAGGCAGGCACCAGGACGACCTTCAGATGGGACACCTGGGCACAGGGAGAAGCCATGCTTGGCCAAGATCACGCCATCAGTAGGGTCATCCTCTCTATTTTACAGATGAGGAAACTGAGGGGCAAATAGTAGGCAGCCAAGCTGGGGCGCTGGGTGCTGAGCTCCTGCTCCCGCCCCAGCTCCATGGCTGGGACCATCTCAGGGTCCTTGGGGACCCGGCCTGTGTTACCAGGGAGGGTCCTGGAGCAGTGGCCTTTGCAGTGGCTGCCTCTCAGCACCAAGCTGCCACCTCTCTCAGGAAGTGTCCCTGAAGTGCCCAGACGACGCCTCAATTACTAAACTCTGGATTTCAACATATTGGAAGAACAAATCACAGATGCCTAACACCATCTCACACTTCTCTGGCAATAAGAGCACGAGAGCCAATTTATCTCCTGGAGGAGAAAACAGGCCACGGCTTTCTGTAACAACTACGGCGCCTTTTTTCCTCTTGGCCTCATAATGAGGTAGATAGTGACGCCCATAAATCAAATTTTAATATTGTGCCTTTCAATCTTCTTAATTGAAGAGCCAGCAGACAGTAATTATGCACTTAACTGTTTTTCTCTCATTTTCCTCCTTTTCTGAAGTGAAGGTCGCTGGCTCTAGGCATGAGAAGGAAAGATCTGATTCCAGCAAGCTGGGCTTCAGGGCTGGGACTCGGGGGAGGAAGGAGAAAAGCTGACAGAAATGCGAAGACGGACGCGGTTTGCTGAGACTGATGAGTCACAGAATCTCAGAGACTGCTGGAAGCTTGGACTGTATCTGGTCCCGAGCCTCATTCGAGATCTTTCTGCACATACAGATCTGCCTCGTTCTCTTTGATGGCCACAGTGTTTGCCACTGTGGGGCTTCCTCCTATAGGCATCCTGGTTTCACTGACCTTCGTGTATGAATGTATAAATGTTATTTCTTACTCTCAACAACTAAAAGTGGAACTGTGGGGTCTTAGTGGTAGGCACATTTAAAAATTTAATAGCTACTTCCAAATTGCCCTCCCAAAAGGCTGCCCCAGTTTATACTCCCACCCCCCACCTGTCTTTAAACAAGTTTATGGGGACTGTAAAGTATTTACACACACATTCAAACATGCGGACTGGTTTCTCCATCTGGGCTCAGAAAGAGCAAAGTATACCCCTGAAACAGAGGTGCATTTAGTAGAAGTTGGTGAGAACCAAGTCAGGCTGCTACTTTAACTGCACTCGAGGGTGTAAATGAGGCGGTGGGTGTCTGCTGGTCTACACATGCCCTCTCCATCCACTCAGAGGTCCGTCCGTCCATCCATGCAGCCATCCATCCACTCCCCACCTGCCTATCTCTGCATCTCTCCATCCACCCTCCCTCCCAGCTGATATTTATGCAGTGACTACTCCATGCTAGGAACCATGCCAGGCTCCGTGGGCAAAGTCAACAGTGAAGAATTAAGCATCCATGGAATCTGCACTCCAAGAATTCACAGTCAAGCAGGAGAGAAAACATCGATGTCACAAGGCACATTTTGCAGGGAGAAATGAATTAGAAAAGTGGAGGGTGACGGGGATGGGAAGAGGTGACTTCACACCGCATGGGGTCCTCCCCCAGGGCCCTAAGAGGATTCCACGGGAGAACTGGGACCCAGAGGGGCTGGCAGAGATGGTGTGTGCAAACCCTGCCCTGACTCAGGGCACCTCTGGTGGCTTCATTTCTATTCTGGCCAAGACCAGTGGGTAAACCTGAGCACGGATCAACTCTGACAGCCATGCTGATCCCCAGGAGGGGCGGGTGACGACTAAAGGACATCAGAGGATGGGAGCTGAATCATAAATAGCAGATGAGTCTCAAGCTGAAATAGGGTGTGGAGACCATATTTTCAGGACCTGAAACTGGGACGCATGGCTCAATACACAGGAGAGAGACAGCGAACCCCAGGCTCACACAGAGCGACCTTGGGCAAGTTCACGACTTTCAAAATGCCTTTGCCTCCCTCTCCCTCTCCCTCTCCCTCTCCAGAACAAGGACAGCCCTGCCTGCCTCTCAGGAAGCTATGGAGACGGCATGAGATCACTCCAGAAAGCCTTGCAGCCTCCCCCCACCCCAGGCGCTCTCCCAGTCCCCCGCCCCAGCGTCCCAGCGCCACGGACTTGGGGATTTTGTCTGGTGTCTCGACACCCAGGCCTGTGGCTCTCACATGGCCTTCTCTGTTTCAAACTACCCGCCCCCGTCCTCCAGACACTTCTACTCTGGCTTGCCAAGACTCCATAAACTTTATATAGTTTCCATAAATCCAACGGCCCCTTTTTTCCTAGCACGTTGTAAAGGTGTAGGAAACCATTTCTCGGGAAAGGCCTGGCTTTCTCACCGAGGGTTTGTGGGGCCCGGTGTGGGTTTACTGGGCAACAACAGAGTAATAACAGTGCTGTAAAGTCGCCATCCCTGCTCTGCCTGGCTGGCCAGGCTGCTGGAGAGCGGGCAGGTGGGCAGGGGGGCTGCCTGGGCCTGGGACTCCAAGGACCAAGGCAGAAAGGAGCACAGGCCCAGCCTTGGGGGCCCAACGCCACTGCCCAAATTCCCAGGTGTGACTCTCTAGCTCTGGCTTCACCAGGAACAGACCATCTGAAAACAGGAGGAGGGACATTCCTCTCTTTTCCAGGTGTCCAGTGACCAGCTCGGGAGTTGGAGCCACAGAGAGAAGGGCACTGCCACTGGCAGATAAAGTGGACTCATTCGCACTTGTGCCCTCTTTTCCTAAATCCAGTTTCCTATACAGTATTTCCTTTATGCTGTCCTGCTCCTCCCTGCACAGCGGGGAAAGGCTAGGTGGCTTCACCTGGTTACAATGGATTACAGGCTCATTGTAAAAACATGCACAAAAGCCTAGAGAGAAGGGTCTAAAATCTCCTGAAATTTCATTCTGCCCAGAAAAAAACACACACAGCTAACACATGAAAGTACTCGTGCAATGTCAATGTAATGACTCAGTTTCTCAAAATGTGGCCCACAGAGCACCAGCATCCCCAGCTTCTGGAGTGATAGTTAGGATGAGTTCCTGCGCTCCACCTAAGGGTCACCCACACTCCTGGCAGAAGCAGCACTTAACCAGCTTGGCGGTTGACGGTGCCACTTGTTGGCAGGAGGAGACCATTAGCACACTGGCTTGGTCCTCTGGGCAGAGCAGCCAGTGCCAATGGGAGTGTCAGCCTGGTGCAAGAAGACCAGGCTATCTGAGCCAGGTTCGCAGGCTCCACCCAGGCCCATCGACGGGGACAGGGCCCCCAGATTCCATGCTTAAGACCATTCAGTGAGGTATCACACAGGGTATGGCTTTGGGGCACCAAGCAACAAAAGAGTCATTTCCTATCTGTTTTCTACCCGGGTGGGAGTGGCTTTGGTCACTAAAGTCCTGGCTGGGAAGCGTTTTGGCTTGGGCGGCCTGCAGATCAGAATGTCGGGAGAGTGGAGACCACATTTTTATAGCTTCAGAGACGCTGCAGACGTCAGGAGAGGGACAAGGGTGAGCTACGACTCTGCTTATCTCCAGATTCCCAGTACACAGCTGGGGGGTGCAGGGCTGGGCTGGTGCAGACCCCAGGGCAGTGCCCCACTGCCTCAAGCTGCCACCAGGGCGAAGGCTCCGGGGCGAGGTGCAGAGTCGCTGGAGGACAAAAGGCCCACCTTCCCTCTGCGGTAGATGAGGAAGCTGTAAATCAGCCAGCCCACCCCATCAGCCAGTGCTGTGAAGGCTCAAGCAAGGGTCTGGGGCAGCAGCAGAGGCCACGGCTTCCTGTGCAAAAGCTCCTACGTTTCTACAAAGCTGGTCTAGCACTGCCCCATTTCAC